CCCTCTTTCCGACTCAAGGCATACAAAAGCGGAGGGTAAATTTACCCCCCATATTTGCCGATCACGCATCTTCGTGCCTGCCAACGAGTGCACCCGGGTTGTTCCAATGTACCCTTCCCAGTCAGCGATGTCACATTTACATTCTTTAGCGCAAAGTCTGTACATAGCAACCTTCCTCCCAAAACATGTAATCCCTACATGCTTTGCCGACTATGTAACTAGTACATCCGGTGCGATTCGGCTAGCTTTCGACCTCTCCCCCTGGCCTCAAGTTACAAGTAAGAGTGGCCCATGGTCAAATCCACCAAAATTTCTGGGGGTCGAAATGCCGCAAGGTTCTCCAATGGAGGTCAGGAGTCTCTCATGTCGGCAGCCTGAGAATTGGTGTAACATGTCAGAAAGCTGGATGGGTGGGGACTTGAGTAAAGGCTCAGATGTTTTCCTACTGATAAACTTGAAGACATCACATCCAATAAAGACATATAAAGACTAATCCCACGATCGCCCAGGATCAGAGGAAATTCCTTGCCATGGTTACGCGCCCCTTGGAGACCTAAACTTTGATGGTTTAGAGGATCGAAACATCCTCAGCGGGAAAAAGCAATCTTCATTCCTTGTCGTGTTCTTGAATCTTGATTTCTTGTAGAAAGATCTCCCCCAGTCGTTGATATGGCCTGTAGGTGGCCCAACTAAGACGTGAAAAGCCGCCGCTTCTTCCAACGACGCTTCTCCCGCCCCTTAAGTCTCATGGGTTTGCGATCGTTCCAGGCCGCGAGAAGGTGAAGGTGAAGCTGTGGCGAGATTCAGCGCCGCAGGAGGCGAGGAGCAGACGGACACCAAGCAGGGTGGAGCACCTGGAGATGCCCGTAAGCAGGTCGACCCCGTACGCTTTTGGTACGCGGGGTCGTTATGTTGACAGTATACGGTGAATCGAAAAGGTGAAGCTGGATACGGAGCTCCAGGTGTGTTTGATATGGATTTGTCTGGAATTATCACCATGTTAATTAACATGTTAAAACTGAATGATTTGTCCTCACGAATTAACTCCATTGAATTCAATTTGAGGGAGTTTTGCGGTCCTCCACAGGCCCAGTGCCCATGTCATGGAAGACTCTGTTGGCCAACTCCTTGTGTTCAGGTCTGCATGCTGTCGCTGTCGGACGGCACACTCATCCAGTGGAGCATGTGGCGGTCAGGTCCCCATCCGGTGGAGTCCTGTACATTCTCACCCTGTGAGGTGGTCCGCTCGGGTCCGTGGAAGTCTCATGGTTGTCATGGTTGTCTCAAGTTCCAGGAGACATGTCCAGTTCCGAAGGATGAACCAGTTCCGCTTTTTGCAGAAGTCTAGAATGTCTCAGAAAAAGATCTGAGCTGTCATCTCACTCGTGCTGATGGGGCCTCGGGCCTCTCTTTCGCCTCCAGTGAAAGTACTTGGCGATTTGTTTGCCAATGATGTGAATGTGAATACACATGTGATGTTTCAAGGATCACAAGAATCCAGGGAAGAATTCTGTAACTGTACATTAAAAATCATTAAATTGTAAATTGCAAGTATATATTTAGTTTGCACAAGTACATGGTGCAGCTGAAATGACGCTGCTTTGGTCACTGCAGTCTGACATATAACTGCATTAATGACTTCCGTGTCCTGGTTTGGACGGATGCAACACGAAACCCTGCCCACCGAGAGAAGCCGCACCCACTCCACATCCCGCTTGCTTCGTTTCGTTTCGCCTCACTTGGCACTGGCGGCGCCTCCGCGCAGGTGGAGATCTCTTTGAAGCCCGATCGCTGGCTGGTACCCCGCATCGATGGCTATGACGCCGCCGCGGTGCGCGCAGACGGAAACGGTGCCGGGGAAGCCTCCGGGGAAGCCTCCGGAACAGCCGTGCTCCATGGGTCATGATGATAAATGTATATGGGGATATATCGCCACCTCTAATCGTTTTGTTATTTCTTGGACACCGACGGTGCCGACCATCTATATGCTGCACTTGTTCTACTACTCCACGAATGGAAAGTCGTTGATTCTTTTGGCCAAGGGTGTAAATTCAGTGGTTTAGATCTACTGAAACACCCCTATCGCAAATACGCTGTGGGACCTGGAGGACGGTGATCCCCAAGGCAGTGTCCCGATCTTGAGATCAAATATTCGGTCGACCGAGGCCTGGAAAACCTATTGAGAGGCCATATTTGATATCAAAGAATCTCAAAGACTATTTCAAAGACTCATCAAGAGTAGTAGTAGTAGTAGTAGTAGTAGTAGTAGTAGTAGTAGTAGTAGTCGTAGTGGTAGTGGTAGTGGTAGTAGTGGTAGTAGTGGTAGTAGTGGTAGTAGTAGTAGTGGTGGTAGTAGTAGTGGTGGTGGTAGTAGTAATTAGTTGTAGAAGAGTACCAAACGACTTTCATACCTCCGAGACTCGAAACGAAGACTCAAAGACGATTGAACAAAAACTCATCTCGCACTCCTATCTCGTCGTTCGCCGCCATTCGCAGCCGGACCCGGGCCGGCACGACCCGGACCACCCGGACCACCGGTGCTTCGGACCTTAGGAAAGAACACCAACCAACCAGCCAGGAAGTGGTTGTTTGGTTGGTTGGTTCTTAGGAAGTTGCCTTTAAGAAGTGGACCACCCACTTCTTAGGAAGTTAGTTGTTTCGCTTTCGCGAACGGCAGCTCGTGTGACGCCAGGAATATGCCATCATCGGTGGCCTGGTCTTCATCCCCTTGAGCCACCCATGGGCCGAGCTCAAGAGCCCCAGCCTTGGCACCTTTGCCCCGTGCCATTCCACGCGCACCGGCGGTGAACCACACCGGGCAGAAGTGAAGGGTTTGGAGCGGTGATGTCATGGTTTTCCTGTTAGATAAATAGGTACTGACTGTATAGGTGTTGGTTGGTTGGTTGGTTGGTTGGTTGGTTGGTTGGTTGGTTCTGGTTGGTTATGGTTGGTTATGGTTGGTTATGGTTGGTTATGGTTGGTTATTGTTGATTATTGTTGGTTATTGTTGATTATTGTTGATTATTGTTGGTTATTGTTGAGCTGGTCGTGAGGTGGTGATTTGAGGGGTTGAGTGAGGAAACCGAAGAAGATCTCTTTGGGTGGACGAGATAGTCTAGATAATTCGTGTGCGTTGTCGTTTCTGGGGTCCGGGCGTTTTCGACCCAGCGTTCTTGGGGTTCGCATCCGAAGAATGTTCCCCCCCACGTTTTCCCATTGAACTTCACTGTCCAGGCCATGACAAGCACTGGAGCTCTTCCCGTGCATTGTGCCAGCACCCAGAGATGCGAATCAGGGAACAAAACATGGGAACACGATGAGAAGTGCCCGCGGTGAAAGGAAGTTCTCCAAATCCTGAAGGTGAATCAGTTTTCCAACACGATTGAACAAGGTGAAGTACACCGAATGCTCCAGCGCCGGTGGGTTTCGTTGGGTGTTTGTTCCAAGCTTTCGTTCCATGTTTGGCCAGTCTGTTCGGGTCAGGTTCTCGTTCTCAAGCAGTCCTCATGCCAGTCCTCATGCCAGGTCTCCTTCCCCGTGAAACCTCGGAACGAGGTCCGAGGCTGTGGTGTTCTTTTTCAAGTAGACAGAGTCCAAACCTGTCAGTCCCAGAGCCCCAAACCTGGAAGACACCTCACCTGCAGATGAACACGGACCCCCAAAACCATGGGGTTGTGGAGGAAAATCCATGCTAGCCCGTGGTGGGGGGTGTGCAGTGACTGCTTGACGACAGGTTTGGTATGCCACTTCAGTTTGGTGACTGAGTCATGAAAACTCGAAGATACGGGCAGACATCCCTGAACTTCATTCCCATGCCTGCTGGCACACACCTTTGCAGTGGTCTCCCAACCATGCATCTCAAACAACTTGGACATGACCCAAGAAACTCATTCCAACCCCAAAAAAGCACTCCACTCACGGGCCATGAAAGAAACGACGTTGACCATCGGTCACCGGGTTCAGACCACAGATCGATCTACCCCACGAAGGCGCCAGCACCCTGTCACACCTGAGGATCCATCACTATTGGGGAGAAGCTTTAGACGAAGACGGACGACAAGTGGTCGTTCTCTCGAAGGTAGCGGAGCCGCGGCGTTTTTGGGTGCGAGTAGGGGCGTTGCTTCGAAGTGCTTGGACACGTCTCACCGTCTCGCGTGGGCGTTCGGTGGGTTCGGGGGGTTCGGGGGGTTCGGTGGATGGACAGGTGGACGAGACATGTGTAACTGGGGTGTGGTTGGAACACAGGAGTCACGAAGGGTGCACAGTTCGCACGTAGAAAAAGCATAAAAAAGCTATCCCCCTTTAACTGATTAGCAACTGATTAGCGGCCGGTTTTTTCGCGACGGTCACCTTCACGCAGCAGGGCAGGGTGAAGAACCATGATCAGAACTTCCATGGCATGTAAACGGGGATCCAGCTCGGAAGCGAAGCGAAAAAGGTGCCACTTCATGTTGGCTTACAGTCCCCCCCCAGCATTGCCCTCTCCTAGTTCTCTAAAGTTGGTTTGGGTTCTTGATGGTTGTTGTTTGTTCTGAGCATGTATAGTATATATATATATATGCTGATGATTTTGTCAAAGCCTTCACCGCAAAGTGTGTTCATCAATGTTGTTGAGGAAACGTGCCATTTTGCTTGCAAGGCGTTTCTTGTTTGCCGCCTAAAGCTTTCTTCGCGGTATTGCTCCTTGTTTGACTATTGAAGAAGAATCATAATCAAAGGGAGTGACATACTTGTAAGTGTTATTTGGTTGAGGGTGCATTGCCAAAGTCACAATACCTTTCCATCTGGAACTCAACTAGGCATTTGAAGACATGTTTAAGCATCTGAAAACAGCCCTTGGCCCAAGCCTCCCGGAATTTCCGGACACCTAGCGACCATTTCTTGGGAGACCCTTGAGCCATTTTGATCCATGTTGATCCTATAGGTTGCCATGTCTCAAAAAGAAGTGGGGACTAAGTGGAAGGACAACTTAGCCGAGCGGCCGCACTTCCAACCGATGCTTTTGGGCATGTGTTTGGGCGCGGAGACAAACACCGAGACACCTCAAGAGCTGCGAAAGCTGTGGCTCAGGAACATTGAGTGAGCAGATATTAACATGGGTGATGAAGGTGGACGCTTTTGAACTTGAGTTTGTCAGAACACCAGTGCGGGGCTCAAGGAGGATATGAGCCTCATGGAATACGAGCCTCATGTTAGAGGAAAAACGGATGCAGGGCAGCCAATCGTGTTCAAAGTCAAACCAAGTCATTGGTCATAGCACCCATGCAATCCCACATACATCAAGCAGGGTGATTTGGAAAAGGAGAAAGGACTCGGAACTTGCTATGTAACATGTAGTCGACTACATCTTTGGCCACAACGTTGGTTTGTTCAATCTTCAGATGCCCATGGCTCCCACTTGAAAATGGTCAAAAGGCGACATACCACTGGTTTTCATGCGCCGGGCCCGTGTGCTGCCCTTGCTTTTGCTGCCCTTGCGCTACTACCAGACCGTGGTAGGCTGGGGGGGGATTCGTGTGAAATGGCGTGGAATGCGTGGAACATGATCTTGGGCGGAGCTCGTGGCGATCTGGCTGGTAGCTTACAACTCAGAATTGACTTCATAGTTGCCAAGTTCTAGAGCAAGCTGCTCGCGCAGTGCTGATGAACAAGGCAAAAACCACAAACACGTGCTCCCTTGAAGGTCAAGTGTGTAGGGTATGACGCTCTTGAACAAGCACACTGACCTGACCATCACCATGGTGATCTGTGGATCTTCCCTCTCCGAGTGGTGGGTTTCACCCGCCAGGCATGCCGCGCTTTCAGCAGCTGGAACCGCAGAGCAGCACCCGCATAGCCCTTCGGCAGCACTCGACATCGGCCCTTCGAGTCTGGTTGAAAGAGGTGCATTTTGGTCGGTGATGATGAGGATCCTGTGGGGTGAAGACATGGTGAAACTCTTTGTGGTTGCTCGTTCAGATGGACTGATGGAGCCAAGGTGAGCCATGGATTGGCAGTCATCATGCTTTGTCAATGCTCTGCAGCGGTTTTGCCAGGGTTTCAATTTCTATATTTTGTTTGTACATGTCAGAGCAGTCGACAAAAGTCCTTCGTTTGTACTCAGTTTGCGCATGGTGTTGTCTTCTTGTCACCTTCCGTGCCCGTCTGATCAGACGAAACTACCCCGATGGTTGATGACTCCAGGTGCCGGTGCTGATGAAATCCAATATGGACGTTCCTAGAACCTGAGTGACTTTTCTTTAATTTGACAACCACCCAAAAGATGTTCAAGGCGTGTCCTATCAAAAGAGGTCGTTCATGGATTCAAAAGAGGTCTCTAGGTTGGTTAGACCTGCGATCTCCAGCAACGACCACCCCCAGCACCCTGTCTACCGTGGGTCTTGGTTGCCTGGAATCATTGGAGCCACTGGTCGTGCCGATTGTTTACCCGGTCGCACCTCTTCGTTTTCCAATCATTTCCCAGGGGTCCAATTTATACCTTCCCCAAATGTGGGTGCAGGAACCTTCCTTAGCCTACTGGAAACATCGATGACTCAATGACCCTTCATCTCGGCATCAACTCACATCATCCCAATGGTTTCATGTTATGAGCTAGGACCAAAAACCATCAAATGCCCAACATCAACTGGTTCGAAGGGTGATTACAACCAGCGATTCTTGGAGGCAAAATGCGACTCCGTTTTCGGTGGTCGGCTCCGCTGAAAAGCACATCTTCAGGTGGTCGAAGCTCGCTGTTTCTTCGCTTTGCTGGATGCCTGGCGTGTGCTTTGGGACCACCTGAACCTGGGTCTGCAGGCGAAGATGGCGTGTCGAGTCTGTGTGGAGCATCGGAGTTCATGGGATGGGACAGGAGTTAGCAAGTTGGTGTTGAGAATGAGGGGGGCGTGTTTTTCTTTGCACAAATTGTGTGGAAGCCATGTGTGTTCATAATTCATGCATTCTTAGTTGAGATGTCCCTGCCCTTTGTAAGAGTGGGATGGATCAAGGATGATTCAATGGCAAATGTGAAGCGTGATTCTTCACCACTTTTCTCCTGCAACCTACTGCATCCAATTGATTTTAAACATTAGCCATGGTTGGGGACATGGAAATCAATCAAGTTCACCATCAAGAATTGGCACGTTCATCAAAGAAAACCACATGAACGGTCCACCAGTTGAGACTTGGCGGGATACATGCCAGTTGATTGATGCCATCTAGTTGAGAAAGGATCTGTATTTGTGAGACTAAGACAACCAATTCCTGTTCTGTTCGGCCCTTTGCTGGCCCAACCAACACGGCATGCCCAAGTGATATCGACCATGGGCACTTTCTCGGTCCAAAACACCGGGACGGCGGAACATCCCGCTTAGCCTTCGGTCGGCACTGAAGCCGCCCTGAACAAGCCGTGTGATGCCTTGAAAACGGTCAAAACGTGTGCACTAGACGTTAGTGCACTTATAGTATCTTCTACTTGTGTTTCTTGGACGTTCGCCGTTTCTTGGATTTGCCAAGAACCGCCTATTTGGGGGTACAGGAGTACAAGCAGCATGTCGAGCTGATCATATTTCTTCTTGCCCCCTCACCTTTATGACTTTCAAGTGAACAAACATGAACAAACTGTTTGAACCAAGAAAACTGTCCTCGCTTGCTATTATTATTGGAGTGAACAACAAGGCCATATTTAAAAGAAAATACAACGCACGTTAGCAGTGTTTTGCAGTGGGCAACCAAAACATACAAAAAAACACAACAACCGTCCTGTTCTGGGAACGGAACAACACATGGAACAAAACATGGCCCTAGTTCCGATGTCGCAGGAGTCTGACTTGGCGCCCTACCTGGTTCAGGGCCAATCGGTGGCCAGCCGCGGCGAGCTGAAGCCACTCGAGTGGATCCGTCGCCGGGGTGGTATCCGTCGTACGATTCGGTCTACTCTGCGGTCGATGTGGGGTGCCATGAGGGTCGATGAATGGAGGGGTGCTGGTACTTAGCCAAGAGTTTTCATGTGTGTTTGTGTGTGTGTGTTTTTACAAACCGACAAGTTGATTCTGTATTCCTTCTATCTGGGTGACACAAGCAGTTGACCAAGACATCTGCCAGGGTCCTTGAATCGTATACATCGGTTGATGTGTTTTTGAGATTGATGAATGGTAAACAGAAAGAGAGGGCTGGGACAGGTAGGTGAAGGAGGGAGTTCGCCTGGTTGAGTCTGGCACCTCCAAGCATCATGGAAATAGATCTTGTGCAAGGGTACTACATCCATGCTGAAGGTATTAACTATGAGAACCCACCATAACCTCGCATCCCTGAAACAAGGAGCATCGATGATTCATCAAGGAACACTCTCAACCCTGCACCTACAAGGCTTGTATGAGTTTGTCAAGGTGCCAAACTCCGTGGCGCATGTCATTGGATGTCACTGATGGCTCGAACTTGGTGTCACCTGATTTATTAGCCAGAGTAGCGCATCACAAATGGGTATGGCCACTGTGAAGTTGGGGTACTCTCCCAAACTATAGGCCAAGTGGACAGATCTATCCGATTCGATCTAACATCCTGAATCCTGTCTTAATCTAACCCACCAGACCGTTTGATACGGCTGTGGCCTGACTTTCAAACCTCTACTAAGACCCACAGTCGGGGTGGTTTGTTTTTACACCCCGAGTCACCTGCAAGCCATGAAGAAACACCCTAAAACGGGAGGGCGCTGGCACCAGACATCGTCAACGGTAAAACGTCGTCCAACGCAGGCTACGTGCCTTGAGCTACTTCGCTTCGGGCCAAGAAGAGGAGCTGCGATGAAACCCTTCCCGAATGCGTGCGGAATGCCTTCTATGGGGGGTTGCTGGCGGGTGAGAATGGTTATTGATAAGTACTTGCTTGGCCTATTGGTAATTGGAAAGACAACATGCATGAGTATCATGAACTTCAACATGTTGGTGATCTCTGTGAAGAAATGCGTGTCAATCTTTCATGTGCATGCGCGATGGATATTGACCTTTAACTCCAGGCTGGGGCCTTTACTGGATTACTGGTTGGATCATTTCATCCCAGGCTCGGCTCGGCTCACGATTGCGTAGGACACCGTGGGCCCAG